GAGTGTCATGAGCCCAGCTCTGGATTTAAAGGATGTCAGTTGTTTTTCATTAGTTAGGAGAGGCTTCCGAAAAGGAACCAACGGTTAGATTTGAGCAGGACCACAGTCACATTGAGTCCGTAATAAGCAAGCTACTCCCAAGACAGTTTCAGGGATTCTGTAAGTACGCCGAAAAGCCGCCTCCTAAAAGAAACCCGATACTGTGAATCTCACGCAAAGTAACAGGATCTGGAACATACGTCCGTGAGTATCTCAGACTGGCTGACCGTATTAAGAGACGACAAGCAGAAGTAGAAATGAGCGCAGCCGAAATTGTGAAAAAACCACGTACTTAGGGGTTTTGGAATTGTAAAAGTTCGGAGTGAAAGGATCCCCAAACCAGTTTGGGTGGTAATGGAATGTTCTTTACTGAATTAAATATGCTACACAAAAGCTCGCAGCGTACAAAATGTAATGGCAGCGCTCAACAAAATGGAGGAAATAGAAAACCCTGATGTCATTGCAGTCTCAGAAACATGGTTAACGTCAGAAGTGTATGATTGTGATGTTCAGTGGCTTGGTTTTTTACACACTAGGGTTGACAGACTAAACCGTCGGGGTGGTGGGTGTAGCGACCGGGCTGCCAATATTCGCTTTGAACGCAGAACTAACGAACCAAAATTTATTCGATTAGACCAGACTACGTTCTTCTGTATGGCATATGAAGGATTTTTGAGTTACTCGTACTAAATTATATCAAAACACAAACTCTGTGCTCAATCTAGACGGTTCTAATTTAGGAAATACAACAAATTATATCAAAATACAAAATACCTCAAACTGTACAGCCTGTGCTATACAGTCAAAAGTTTCTCTAACACAAATTAGCGTTCTAAACAACAAAAAACAAACAGTTAATACAAATGAGTTCAGTACCGGGGAAACAATAAAAATATTCCCAACAAAATTGGATTAGATATCTAGCTGCAGGGATCCCAGTAATCCTTCCAAGCAGACAGTCAAAAACTAACAATCACAAACGGAACCAGGCCGTGACCTTGAGCTTAGTCAAACACAAACTTATTGGCAATGGTGAGGCAACGTGCTATAGAAAATTAGGTAACAAAACCACATAATAAAAGCTCATACGAGGAAGACTGAAGAACACAACGTGTGGTCAAAAGAGATGTGAACAAAGTTTAAAATGCACGATAGGGAGAAGAAACAAATAAATTACAGTACTGTCCAACAAAAATCATGGGGAGGGATTTTTAACGTTCTCTTTGCTTTACAGTGGGGTTATCCTGTACACGAAAAGCACTTTAAACTACCAACAGTCGAGACAGTGGCACCCGACTCAGGGACATGTGAACGGGTACTCTTCCCGCCGAAATGTAAACTCCGAGACTTTGAATTAGTTGTGGCATATCACAGTCCAGAATGTGTAGAAGATGACGTGCTCCTTAGCAAACTTATATTTTGGTCAAACAGACGTGTAAGTCTCATAGTAGGCGACTTTAATACGCCGTATATAAATCAGGTAAACCTGAAAGTAGGGTCGTCAACAACGTCATTTGATTGCAAACTGTTAGAAGCTTCGGTTGCACTAGCTTTATTACAGCACATTAGAGACCCCACCAGAAATGACTTACGAAGCTCCTCGTCTCTCTTGGACTTAGTCTTCACACACGGTGATGACACCGATCAAATGACTTTCCTGCCACCTCTAGAAAGAAGCGATCATGCAGTTATCTTATTCAAATTCACGGCTAAGATGGCTTGTCAAACAGCCGTGCAGATCCGAAGGCTATAAACCCTGCAGCATCGGCTGGAAACTCAGTAGCATCAATAGAAGTGGCATGAACTCATTTCAGGCAGTTTTACAGTTGGGTAACTCAACCATACATACCCTGGAAAATCTTAAGGAAGAAGCACGTCCATCTCTTGATGGGCTGGGATATTCGAAGTTTACAAGGACGAAAGAAGAAATGCTGGAACGCTGTCATCAACCTTGGCATAGTAAGTAATATGGAATGCCACAGGTCGGTAAGAAATAAGTGTTTAACTAAATTCCAGGAAGCTCTGAGAAAATATGACATGCAGTTGGCACAATCTGTAATCAAGCAGCCTAAAAGACTATTTTCGTATATAAATTACAGGACAAGGATGCTGCATTGGATTCCTAAGCTAATTGATGGAGGGAGTGGATCCGAAATGACAGAGGATGGTCAAGAGAAGGTAGAGGCTGTGGCAAACCACTTTGGGGCAGTCTTCATTCAGGAGCCTCCTCTAAACGAAGAACTAAAGCCAACTACAAAGTCAGAAATCCGCCAGCCCACTGTGGACTTTGGTCAAGACGATGTGCTTAAGGCCTTTAGTGCTTTAGACACGCAAAAGTCAACAGGACTGGATGAAGTACACCTCAAAATATTAGGACAAATCGCTCAATAGATTACAGTCCCACTAACTGCGATATTTAGTATGTCACTTGGCCAAGGTGAGTTAGTTATAGACTGGAAGTATGCTATCGTCACTCTAATAGATAAACCAGTATCAAAACAATTTCCATCAAACCACGGACCTGTCAACAACAACAGCGTCGTAGTTAAAATACTGGGACGTGTAGTCGAAACGACCACAGTGGCATTCATTGAAACCAACAACTTGTTTAACTACGAACAACATGGTTTCAGAAAGGGTTTATCTTGTACAAAGAACCACTTTATAGCAAGGGAATATTGGATAAAGGTGATAGACAACGGAAAATCAGTGAATGTTGTCTACACAAACTTCAGTAAGGCATTTGACAAGGTGCCAACAAATAGACTGCTATTGATGTTAGAAAATCTTGGTATTATTGGACCTCTTTTAAAATGGCTTAAGAACTTCCTAGTAGGTCATAGACAGAAAGTAAGGATAAATTCCAAGTACTCCATCTGGAGACCAGTACTTAGTGGAGTACCTCAAGGTTCCATCCTAGGTCGTTTACTTTTGATGCTATGTGCAAATGATCTCCCAAGTGTAGATGGGTCCCCAACGTTGTTACACGCTGACGATCTACAAGTCTGGCGAAAAATAACGGGAGACTCATATGCATTTACACTACAGGCAGACTTAGATATTGTGATTAACAGGTCTAAGGAGTGGCTGATGCCCATCAACGCGGCAAAGCTTGTCTACATGCACTTTGGGGATACGGAGTTAAATAGGTACAACATTGGAGAAATGTATGTATCCGTGGTCTGGTCTCACAAGGACCTTGTGATTCATGATCTTAAGACGACGGCTCATTGCCGAGAGGTTGCAGCTAAGGGGGTTTTAACTCTCTCGGCTTAAGGACGAACATTCACAAAGTTAAATACTATCATGTTCACTACAGTATACACAACCTTAGTGAGAAATAAGCTGCCCTTACAATCCCAGAATTCCGGGGTTTACCATACCAAGAGCGGCCTGAAAAGCTAGACCTCTTTACTCCGTCCCATAGCAGATTAAGAGGTGATTAGATTTTGATGTTTAGAATACTAATAAATGATTTTGGCTCTTATATATCCTCTCTTTTACTTAACGTAAGATAGTGACATCTCAAAGGACATAGCAGGCGAATAGAAAAGCCTATGACGAATAAAATACCCGTGGCATACAGGTTTTCACACAGATTCATCAATTCTTAGAACCTTTGACCCTAAGCGGTGGTGTCTGCACCGTCAAATGACTCATTCAAGAGAAGACCAGACACTCGATGAAGCATATTAGAAAAGAAATAACATAGGCCGTTAGCATTCTGTTCTTACTACACAAATCTGGGTCAAATGGTTCAAATGGTTCAAATGGTTGTGGACGGAATAGAAGAAGCTTTCGCTTAACAGGCTTCCGTGTCTAGTAGCAGGGGATCACCAAATCCTCCAGGCAGGAACCTAGGTATGTTAACAATAAAAGAGGAAAAGAAATTGGTAAATCATAGTGCGATGCTGTCCTTGGTCCTTAAGAATAGGTCAAGTTGCCTCTTGAAGGACTCCTGAGAAGTCGCTTGGACTAGCTCGGCCGGCAGCGAGTTCCAGCTTTTGACAACTCTTAAGGAGTAGAAGTTGTGTCTACATTCTGTCTTGCTATGTTGTGTTTCCAGTTTCTGGGTGTTACCCCTTAGGTTATTGTTCGAACTAAGCTTAAGTAGGTGTTTAAGAGGATGTCCAGAAGTGTTAAGAATACTATAAGCCATTAATAAATCACCTCTAAGACGCCTATATTCTAGTGGGTAAAGGTCTAGTGAACGGAGGCGTTCTTCGTAAGGCTTGGATTTGAGTCCTCGAACTGATTTCGTGGCTCGCCGTTGGATACGCTCCAAAGTGACCTTATCCTTTTGGAGTGAGGGGGGGAGTACTATGTTTCCGTACTCTAAATGGGGACGGATGAAACTACTGAAGATTGTGTGGAAAGTTCTTCCGTCAAACTGGCCAAAAATGCGCCTCAACGTTACCAGTGCAAGGTTTGCTCGGAAGGCATTTTTGTCACAGTTAGCGTAAGACTTTAAGTCATGGGGCACCAGGACTCCTAAATCTTTTTCGACTTGGGATACTACTAGAGAGGAGTTTCCTAAGTTGTAACTGTAGTTTGCGACATGTCGCAGATGGACTACTTTACACTTAGAAGTGTTAAAGGTAAGTCCGTTATCGTCTGCCCAACTTTGAAGTCGAGTCAGATCCTCTTGAAGTGCCTGTATATCGTCTTGGTTGCGTATCTCTCTCCAAAGTTTCACGTCGTCGGCAAAAAGTAATAAGTCTGACGTTACCTGTTGAGGAAGATCGTTTATGTAGATCAAGAAGAGAAGAGGCCCTAGTACTGAGCCCTGGGGGACCCATTTCACAGGATATTGTTTGTTGGGTGAAGAAGTTTGCGTACAAGAAGAAGTACTATCACCTTGATCCTCTTCTCTTCAGGCACTTAATGTTTCGTTATAATACGTCATATTTTTGTTACCTTGATTGGCCAACAACATTGCTGATTTTGAATGAAATGCGGAAATGCTTATTTGTTATATTTTGGGGTGGATTATAAATTTATGTAAGCTTTTTTGTATATATGAATACGATTCTCTTAGTTGATTGCTAAAAACTGTTATTTGTTTGGTACGGTATGTCACTTTTTCCTTGGTTTGTATATGACTGCCAAATTTAACATATTCAGCGTTTTTTTCTCATGGAAATCACTTTACTTATTTTTCGGGATTTAGCCTCATTCGGTTTAAGATTGACAAAGGTATAATAGATTCTGTAAAAGGTAAAGGTATTTTTTTAAAAATAATCTACATTATGAATTTTACTGTATATATATATGCGGGTTTAAATAGTACACATGTACTTCAAATATGTTCGTAACCAAGTGTTTCATGGCATATTCAGATTCCCTTGAGATAATTGTGGGGCTTTCGCCACAACTTTTAGCCCTTCTTCTTATACCGAAAATTAGTCCATTTAAATGGTTTTAAAGGTTACATGCTGGAACTTATTTGGTGTACTTTGCCAGGTTTCTACTTGTCCTGCTAGTGATTTCTCATATATTATTTTGATTTTCTCGTATGAACTTTGCAAATAAAACGTGACTGGGTAGTAGTTAGCCGTTTTTTTGTCTTTATCACTTACTAGTGACTTAACTTTTAACTGGAAATCAGTCAAGTAAAAGCATAAGACCCGGCGTAGAGGTTCATCGTTTAAGTTTGCTACATTTCATAACAACATAATAAGTTGTCAGAATATGATGGCTAAACAAATAATAGAAATAACAATCGTAGGTGGCTAAAATAAGGGATATGTTAAATAACTAGGAAACATGGAAATAATACGACTTTAGAGATTTAAAGGAAAAGAAAGGGTTGTTAGGTTTGGATTAGTGATATTGATTTTGTGTCTTATTCATCCTGTTTAGGAATTCTGCTCTTTTGTAAGTGGCTTAGACTAACTGCAAGCTGCCTTGCGGATCACTGACGTGTGTTATCTTATTTTAGTTAATTCTACCAGCTGTTTTACTCTTGACATCATGCTCTGGTTTGCAGTAAATGTTTCTGGTTCGTGAATTTAAAGAAAATCTGAGCCAACAAAAATTCACAATGTTTATCACTTAATTAAAGTTTGTTTCACACAATGCAGTAAGACAACACCTATTGTGATGTGAATAATAACCTTTTTTCAAAGAATGTGGTTTGTTCATTATATTTTATGGTTAATTACATCATATCAAGACCTGACTTCTTAGCCATCAAGAAATGTTTTTATAAACTAAGGATACATGGTCGTTTTGGGATGGAAGGGAATTCTTGTGAGATGAATGTGTGTTCCTCAAAGTGATGAATTTTAGTGACTTGAAAATTTCGTGTGGTTTGATACGGTAGGTGTAAAGGATGGATCAGGACCTATCTAATAGTTGGAGTAACTACACTTCTGCAGTAAATAGAACTAGATACTTGGTAGTTATATTCAAATATTTGATTTATATTTTGTTATCGTAGTACTTTAACCTGGTTTTTGAAATCTAATAATTTTTTATGGGATCAAAGTTCATTTTCAAAGAAGTTGATGAGACACCATATTATCTTAGAGCTTGGTCAAGGTTTTTATATGGTAATACTCTTTAATTTCCATATGACTAAAATAAGATTTCATTTGATAAAGTTATGAATATTTGTAGAATTATATGTCTTATGAGAGATATTTTTACCCCGTATAGTTGTTTTGACTGTGATGGAAAACCTCGACCGAAGTAATTGTTTTACTATATGCAGCCATGCTGCGGAGTTGAGTGGTATTTTAATTGATCTAACTATCCAAACATACTCCAGAAGCTTTTCACTGACAATTCTTTGGATGACACTTAGGTCATATACTTCTTTCGGCAACCAAATCCTCAAGCACAAGTAACTTACGAAAGATTAAGCGTTCGCGTGTGAGACTGAAGATCCTGGCTTTGAGTCCCTCCTGCGTGATCGTTGATGCGCAATGCTTGAGGAGTACCATACTTGTAAAAAATGGCCATCCAGTGCTTTCAGTTTTCAGTGGTAGTCTATCTTAGATCGACTCGTGAATTCAGATGTGAAGATACTACAATCCTCATAAATTCCTATACTGATAAAACTTTCTGAAAATATCGTTTGTTTCTTATTAACTGTGATATTTGGTCTAATAGCTTTTAGTTCAACAACACTGTCCAATTAGAGTTATTAGGGGTATATAAACCAGAATAAATGTAGAACATTCATGGTTTGGTTTGGGTTGTTGTTTCTCATCAACAATGTGCTATTTAGAAGGATTCTGTTTGATGTGACTTATTTTTTCCCATAAAGATAAAAGTGTGCATTGTCATTTTACCATTCGTTTTGTCGTTTTAAAGTGAAGCTAATTACCAGATCTAATTGTTACTTTCATACTTTAAAAACTTTGTACGCGGCAATATACCATTTTGTTAAGTTAGTGGTTCTGTCTAGTCATTTCCAACATATTGAGTTGAACAAGGTTTCTTGTTTCATTGATTATCATCAGTTACCTTTGTATAAATGAGTTACTTTTTAGTTAACTTTGGTTTTAGCAAATGAAACAGCTTAGTAGAATAGATATGAAACAAGGTGAACATTCGCTTATTGGTTACTTACAAATGAGCGTAATATAAAGATAAAGTTATAATCATAGTGCAGAACGATTTTACAATTTGACTTATCAGGATAGTTGTAGCACCATTTTTTAGTATCGACATACTTAATTTTTTGTCTCTCACCACCGATAATAAATTAATTAACTCATTAAGTACGCATTCTATCTTATCGGTTTTAAGCTAAGTCGTTTTTTTTGCAGGCTTGTGATAATAGCCTTTCACTCTGATCGAAGCAGTTGGAACACGGTTGGAACTTATGACCCAATATTTAAGATTCTGAGTCCGTAAACCATTAAGTTACTACTGCATTACTAGTTTAGATGAACTTCTGGTTATCGCTTTTACCTAGTAATCGAACATACGATCAAATAGAACCATCTTTGATTTGAATGGTATGACACTAGTGTAATGAAAATTGTTTTTGAGAACTAAATATTTGACTCATTTGATTGTACTATTTAAACTTGTGTTAATTGGAAGAAAGGTTCTCCATTTTCTGAAAGAAGTAATTTGTCATCAGTTAAAAAATTTTGAAAAGTTAGTTCCATACCTTTCGGAAAATTATAGATTTACTATGGTCTTCATTTTTATCATATGCCTGTTATCATAAACTCTTACATCAAACGCTGAACGTTCTATCGCTATTAAATTTATAGTTGTTTGTATATCTTTTTTAGGTGTCGTTTCGTCATTATCTTGTTATCAATGCAACTCATCGCATCATTCTAATTGTTTAGAACACTTAACTGATCTAGGCAAACATTCACTTCAACCAACCCCTTGTACAACTTATGGAGCACGATTTTGTATTAAAACTACTGGAATCTACGGAGGTAATATAAAGTATTATTTAAATATCTATAAGTGAGAGAATAGTTTTCACTTTTGACCACTGGTTGAGCAATTCTCACTGGTACACACTTTAGTTCATATGTCAAATCAAAGCATTGTCAATTGATCTCGATTGTAACATGTTAATACCTAAAGACTGAATAAAAATTCAGTCATGTAGTAGATTTACTATATATTATTGTGTTGAATATGTGCTTTCATTCCCGACTGAGATAATCTCTGGGCTTTTTTTACTAAAATGGACTTTAATAAATCATACTAGTGTGAGATACACTGATAAATCTTAAAGCCCTTCTATGCAGGTTGGTAGAGTAGTACGCTTTCGTTCAATCGTATATCGATCAGTTTCGGGGGGATTAGTAACTAATCGCATCTAATAATACAACCACTTCATCGTAACATACAGGAAAAGAATAGTAAGAATAAGTGCTAAGTTCGTTTCTCAGAAAAAAGAAAATAATTAACAGCTGAATTATATTCCTTGGGTACTACATGATTTTCTTCTGAATCAGTCAGTCAGTCAGCTACAACTTAGGACCAGGTACATATATATCGGTCCAAGTTACCATATCTTATTAGCACAACAAGATGAACACCAAATTCATAGAAGTAGTCACTTCAATGGTAGTGATGTTTAAAAGAAGGACTGTGTATAAGGATATAGTACAGGAAGAAGGAATTAGTTCGTAGAAGGAAAGATATGAAGCGATTTTAATCTCATAGTTTAAGGGAAGACAAAGAGTGTATACACCAATGTTATTCTGAGTCATGTCACCTACAGTCTCCAATTGTTGGTTACCATAGTCGCGCAAACCCCAACCAAGTAGATGCATCTCCCAACATGGCTCAGATTAGAAGTTAGTGACTTCAAGCACTGATGCCACGTTTTGGTTTGGCCGCCCCTAACTTTATTCCAACCATTCCCAACACCGGTTAGCATTGTGCATCGTGGTAATCAGTGTTCAGGTATGTGTAGCACGTGTCCCAACCATCTCAGTCGATGAAGATTCACAACCTCATCAACTGATTTACCATCATTGCCTAATACCCTGTGTCTAACCTCACTATTACTTACCCGGTGATCCCAGCAGATGCGAGCAATATTTCTAAGGCATCTGTGGTCAGATATTAATAGCTTACGAGTATCTTCAACTCTTAATGACCACGTTTCGCAGCCGTAAAGTAAAACAGAACGAACTGCCACGCAGTATACTCGTCCCTTAATTGATAGACAGATATGTCGCCTTCACCATAGGCAATGTAAGTTCGCAAAAACCAAACTAACTTTTCGGATCTATGCAGAGATTTTGTTAGACACCAACCCACTATGGCTGATTAGACTCCCAAGATAAGTGAAGTTGTCAACGCGTTCGACTACTTCACTCCCTATCTTTAGTTTAGGTGTTGACGCAGGCCAGTTTTGAAACAAAAACTTGCATTTAGAAGGAGAGAAGCGCACCCCAAACATTCTGGTATTGTCACTCAGTACTACCAAAAGACTCTGCATTTTATCAGCGTCTCCCTTAAACTATGAGAACAAATTTACTTTATATCTTTCTTTCTACTACCCAGCTAATTCTTTCTTCCTGTACTATATCCTTATACACAGTCCTTCTTTTATACACTACTGCCATTGAAGTGACTACTCCTATGAATTCGGTGTTCAGCTTGTTGTGCTAATGAAATATGGCAACTTGGACTAATGTATATATGTACCTGATCCTACCTTGTAACTGACTGATTGAAGTACCCCAAGAACTTTTTTAATTGAATACATAAATCTGCACTTGATCATTGTGAAGTATTCAATCATATAACCTACTATAAATCTTTATCAAACTTCATGTCAATATCAATCTTTTCTTTCTTTTTTTTGGTAGTTTTAATCAAGATACTCATTATATTTCATTTTTATTTTATAGCTGTTATGGGTATAACACGTTTTTGTAGCGCATGGGATATGGGTAATGAATGTCAATTTTTAGATTTCCCCGATCATGATCGAATATATCGTGCATGTGTTATGACATGTTCAAAAGATGCATGTAATTTAAGTAGAAGAATGATGATATCATTATATTCTATGATGATAATCTTGTACATAGTCATATATTTCTATTTTAATACAATTTGTTAAAGATCTTAGTTTATGAATGAATGTCACTTTTATATTCTTTAGTTTATAAGATATCTACAATGATGATCAATGTAAAATAATATAACTTATTAAACATTGACTGTAGTTCTGTAGTATCTTAGCTCTTTTTTTTGTTCGAAAGATAATGAATCATGAAAGAAATTCACAATTGAAGAGATGTTATGGCCGAAAGTCGTCAATCAGAAGCAGCGAATTATCGACCGGATCAATGATGTATCAAACCTGTACGAGCAGTGTAGAGTACTTATCGGTCCTGCTTCCTGTTTAGCCCTGCCTACCTGTTGAGTCTAGAACACCAGCCTCAGCCTCTGCAATATGAAACATTATATTTCAAACATACTCTGTTTATATACCGACCAAACAGACCACATCGTCCCCTATCATAGAAAACAACATTTGTACAAGGATTAGCTAGATATGGCTGTGAATGAGGGAGGTAGTAATCAATATACTGGGTATAACTCAAAAATGCTAAAACGTACAATAATAGTTTATGGATCAAAACAAAGCTTATAATAAGAGGAGTATGAATATGTATAGTCTAGTTACTTTATAATTATACAATAGAAATGTACGTTTAGTGATGGTCCATCAATAGATCCCAAAAGTTACCATTGATTATTCTTGTCGGGACATAACAAGAGAATAGTTATCAATTTAATATCAGAAGGGGATTTTTGTATGTGGATATTATAGTGATTTTAATAGTTGAGATCATGAATTCATTGAAGCTAGATCATCATGAAAAAACCTGAAAGCACTAGACGACCGTTTCGTCCTACTGTAGGACTCCTCCGTGGCAGTGTGCATCCATGATGCACGCCTCGCGAGATTCGAACTGAGTTATCAATTTATTTTATCTGAATGTTGTTGATGAGACACCATTATTTTCATTGTTATTGATATTTTTTTTAGAATTAAGCATCAGTTTTAAAGAACGGATAAAAATGGTAGGATATCGATTTGATATCACTCTGTAGTAGACGTTGAGTAGTACATCAAGTGAACTATACGTTAAATTAAATTCACCTGGTGTTGTTTACTTGTAACTTTTCATTGTTATTTTGGATTGAAATTGATCAGTCTCTTATTGGCATATGTACATTCTCAGGTCACAAGGTTTATAAGCAATATCGAAGCAGCCCACACAGCATTCACATATGCCAATAAGAGGCTGATCAATTGCATTCGTAAATATCAATGGGAAGATTTAAGTAAACAACAATACTAAATGAATTCAAACTTCACCCCATTGCACAAGCAAGTGGCTATCAGGACTTAGTAGCTAAGTGGATAATGCAATCTCGTTTGAAGAGAACGGTACTGGGTTCGAGTGCTGGAGTGAACATCAACTTTGAGATGTAAGTACATCCAGCTGACGAATCCTGAATAGGATGAAACGCGCATGAAACTGAATCCCACTGTTAGCTACTATCCATCTTTGTTTAGAATGCTTGTGAATTAAGGCTATATTGAGGCAATACGCACAGTATTCACATATGCCAATAATAAGAGGTTGATCAATTTCAGTCCTAAATAACAATGGGAAGATCCAAGTAAAACAATACCAAGTGAATCTATACTGTTATGATTTGAAATTTATTCTTTAAAATGTCAACAAACCAAAAGAGATCCATCATTATCAGAAACGCTATATTCGTTTCCTAAACTTTTCTGTAACCCCCAAGCTAAAAATATACAGCTACCTGAAAAACGAGAGAGAAGACTCAAAGCATACGAGAAGTTCTTTACTCCAAAGGTTCATTTCAATACAGAAAATACAGGGTTTTTATAATATTTTAAATGTCCTTGGGTTGCTTGAAGATTTTGGAATGCTACTAATCATAGTAGTCGTATAACAACCAGCCAATCAGAACCACTACATGTGATGTTTCACTTCCTTGATATTTCTGGCTAAAACCACAAGTGAACGCTGATTGGATGAAACGCTTCTTAGTGTTTTCTGATCCTTGCTTGTCTTTTGCAAGGAATTTGCTGGATCACCCCAACATACGACAAAAGATTTTCTTCATCACCTAAGTTGACAACCAATATATTGAAAGTTTAGATACTTGAAAAACGTATGAAGCTAGCCAGTAAATTAGGTCATTCAGAAGATTAATCAGAGAGGAATCACTTAGCGTTTGTAGGGTAAATCTAAGGATCTTTAAATATTACTTCTGGGTTTTTCCAACGACTAATATTTGTTTACAGTAGGAAATTTTCAGTAAATCATGCCATACTCTAATTAATTTCTTGTTTTATAAACATTTAACTGATGCCTAATCGTAATCAAAGTAGGTTGAAAGCTTTTAAATAGTGATTGACAGCGATTTTTGTTCATTCGTAACTACTTTTTGCAAGCAGTCTTATCTCCATGACATCTCCGTTTCCAAATATATTTGGTATATGAATCTAATAGTAATTGCCTGTCGTCTTTCAAAGCGATAAAGTTATAGATCACTAACGTAGATGATCTATGTCGATTGATCGGAAGCCTACTCGAGTTAAACGGTAATGGCGTGACGAACCAGCTAACGTCGAAGTCACACCTCGTGGTCAGCACCTTATGTGGACTACCCCATTGATGTATCAATGTACCATAGATGCTTTGAAGACTGTAAAACACAGAGGACGTTATTACAGAAACATATATTAGTTAAAGTAGATACAAGCGAAAGTAAGACCACTCCGCATGGGCCAGTCCATGGCGTACGATTAACTGAATGCTCGTTGGTTGTCCTTGACCTTGACGAGGATTGATTATTTGTTCGATATTCAATGACCCAACTGCCGGATGATTTGGCTGGGGCTTAGTGACACTTAGCTGGCCCTACAAAGTAGAAGGGAAATAATATAAACCACTATGGTGGTTATTCTTAAGTTTATCAGCAATTACATTTACTATATATCATTGAGATTTGATGAAAGCACGTAAGTACACACTGGTAACAGATATTACTAGTCATTTAAAGCAAATGTAAAACGAGAAAATCTGCGTGTCAAAAAATACCCAGGTCTGTAATAATAGTGTGGTTTGTGCTACTGATGTTGACAGATATAAGTAGTATGTATTACCAATCAAAAGTGGAATCCCTGGATGTGGAAGGTTGAGAAGATCAAAGAGAAGAGAGCGGGAAGAGAGAGTGATTGTTATTGAAATAAAGGAACAATGAAGTCTGAGATAATTGATTGACATTTTTTACTGTGTGGTTCTCTGATTTGACTAAGTGATTCTGTAATTATGTCTTCAAATACATTCGATCGTCCCCACTTGTGTTCTCTTTCATTACAATACTATCTCAAAAGCCTGGATAGGCCACCTTGTGGCAACTGCATCTAAGGGTTCCTTAGAAACATCAGTACTGATGATGATAAGGAAAGCTGAAAGAATGGAACACCAAAGAAAATTGGTTCATATTTCCCCCAAATGCCCTGGTACGGCTGAGAGTGGGGAGAGTCCGCTCTCCCTCTCGAAATACTCTCACACGGCCACGCGTATACAGCCTCTGTCAGGGAAGTCCTACTCAATGCCTTCTCGTGGGTACAGTGTTGTTTACGAAAATGAGAGGATGAAAAGCGAATGTCCGGTGCTTTAACCAGATCCCGAACCAATGGTGCACATGGGCTCCAGTATCCTGCGGGAACAAATGGTGTATGAACCAATTGTTGGTCACCGGCTTCCATGTAACTGCATCTCCATACGATGCTCGGGAAGTGGCCCCCTAAGATAACTACCTGCCTCGGTCTGGGCACCCGGGAAGTATCGCAGCCCACACGCAATTAATGAACTGGACTGTCTATGATCATGGAAACTAATTCTCTTGCTTCGACGAACATTCAAATGATTCAATTATTATTATTGCTATTATTATTATTATTATTATTATTATTATTATTATTTACCACATTGTTCACCCTCTTTTATACTTATACAGCGGCTCGTCTTTGGTGGAAATTCGACTGTATCTAAACGTTCTCGAGTCACTGTCCGGTTGAAAATTGTTTGTTACCACTGAATATGAGTACTGAAGCAGTTTTTCTGAAACCATGTGCACTATTCAAACTAGCTGCCTTCAACGTTAGCACACTTATGCAGGTCGGACAACAGATAGGGCTGGCTACATCATTGGAAAGTCTTAATATCGACGTTTGTTGTCTATCCGAGACCCGTATTCAAGACTCTGGTGAGGTACTACAAATTCGCTCTCCATCTGTCGCTTCAAAAGGCTTGTTTTACGTGCACTTATCCGGGGACCCTGTGGCATCTTCATCTGGTGTCGCACTAAGCACTAGAGCTGAGGCGGCACTAGTCGATTGGATCCCCATTAACATTCGGTTATGTGCTTTTAGACTAGAAAGTTCCATCAAAGTGAGAAGAAATCGGCGTGAGAAACGGTGTCTTTTCGTCATCTCCGCCTATGCCCCGACAGATTGCAACCCGGATGCAATCAAGGATGAGTTTTACCACCAGTTATCTGTTCTTCTCCAGAAAGTGCGTTCGACAGATATTGTAGTACTAGCCGGAGACTTGAATGCTCAGGTCGGACGTCTAGGCACAGAAGAGAGTCGTTTAGGTGGCCGATGGGGACTCGTTGGTCGCAGGTCAGATAACGGGGACTGTCTACTGCAACTTTGCACAGACCACAACCTGTTTCTGGTCAGCACTAACTGTTGGCACAGTCATCGCCGATGTGCCACCTGGCGTCCTCCCTCTGCATCTCAAACCTAGACTCAGATTGATCACATCGCGATCAGCTACCACTGGCGTGGTTGTGTACAAGACTGCCGCTTCTTTTGGAGTACCTATCTGGACTCTGACCATGCTTTGGTCTGCGCCAATCTTGCCTTACTTTTCTGTGGACAACGAAGTGACCCCCACCAACGGATTGATGTTAGCAAGCTGGTTGCAACTTCTGTTGCTAGTAAGTATCGAACCGAGCTAGTTTCTAGGCTAGGTACAATTCCACCGAAAAGTA